TAATAATAATAATAATAATAATAATAATAATAATAATAATAATAATAATAATAATAATAATAATAATACATGTATGTTAAAAATAAATGTACTGGAAAATATTAACTAGAGTTATTGTATTGGCTGATTCTATTTTAAAGAAACAGAATCCACTCTTGATATTATATCGGGTTACTTAGTACATGTACTATCATTCCCCACTAATAATATTTCCAATTGTGTTTGGATGATTTATATGTGGACATGATGATGGTCTTAGTTAAACCTTCTCTCTCTCTCTTTGTAGGTTCTCTGATCTTCCTGGCTGGTTTTGGTAATTTAAGAGGTAACATGGAGTTTTGGAACAACGAGAAGCGAACACTGATAGGGAAAGGACAAGTAAGAACACTCTCACTTTAACCATACCATTTTGTACTCTTGCTTTAAGCCTTTAACCCAATAATAACTGCATGAGTAGTTACAGCAGTACGTTATAGTACATGTTATTGGGTGAGGTGTAGTACCGCTACCTGTACATGCACACAATGTAGTTTTGTTCGAGGAATATGCCACATTTGCGTAATGTACATTTTTGAGCATCTGTGTACATCACACATTTGTACCTGTACATCAGGACGTGATGAAAGGCTAGTGTCTATTCTTAATGTTTTACATTCTTCTAGTATTACCGTATAGGGGGTATATTTCCCGGGGAAAATATTTCACAAAAATCACCTTTCAACCTATTCACAAGGAAAATTTTTTGCGTTTTTCTTCTACTGACCATTATTAGTATGGTAAAAAAACAATTTTCATAGGTAAAAATTTTCACGAATTTTTTAAAACCGTGAAATTAGCGAAATTAAATCCCCGTGAAATATACCACCTATACGGTATTATCATTATTATTATTATTATTATTATTATTATTATTATTATTATTATTATTATTATTATTATTATTATTATTATTATTATTAATATTATTATTATTATTAGTATTAATATTAGTATTATGTGTCTTTGATATTTTGTCATTTGTGTGTGTGTCATTAGGCCAGTGATTCTACTCAGTGTGAATGGAGTCATGATGGAGTACACATATTGACAGCAACCACTGCACCAAGACTGAGGGTTGGGAATGGGTAAGAGAGAGGGAGGGAGGGGGGAGAGAGAGAGAGAGAGAGAGAGAGAGAGAGAGAGAGAGAGAGAGAGAGATAAGCCTACACCCCTACATGTGTACACATACCAATACACTACATACCGTTACTCTCTCCTTTAATTAATAATTAGTACAAAACATGCTCCACTTGACAGCACTTGTACATGTACAAGTAGACCCATCCAATAGTATCATAATATCACACTTGCTTTATACACATGTAAGGATTGCTACACTGCACTCTGTAATGGTTGACATTCTTTCTTTGATGTTGTAGTTTCAAAGTATGGAAGTATAATGGTGATCTTATCTTTGAAATTGGAACTAAAGATAGAGAGGAATTGTGGGAGGTTCGTTCTGCTTGTTACACACTAACACACTCACAACATAACAACAAAATATAGTAAACATTCACAAGTACATATACTGTACATTGTAGGTTTGATTATTTTATGTTGTGAGTGTCGAATATTTGTATCCATTCCTTTAGTGTTCTTGGTTACCAGCGAATGAGCTTATTCCACCTGTCATTAAAGAACCATCGGCAGCTGCTAGTAAACAATTAATAGGTAAACAAAATAAATAAATAAAAAAGATTCTCGATAATAAATATCTACAAAAGTACAGCCATGTGTAATTAAGCAGTGCTCAAAAATGAAAGAAAAATACGACTAATTATATTTTTATTTTATGTTTTTGAACCTGCTCAGAATGTAACAAAATGTCTGATTGTATTTTTGTAATAATTAATTTTATTATTATTGTTATTGTTAGATAAACCAGTAGCTGCTTATGTGCCTCCGTCACTAAGAGGAAAGCAACCATCAAGGCCAGTTAAAAAGGTAATTAATTAATAATATTAGTGATTAATAATTATGTATAACTGTGAATAATGAATAGGATATTATCAGTGAAGATACTACTAAAGCTGGTTAGTTTATTTATTAATTATTTATTATTATTTATTTATTTTATTATTATTGTTTATTATCATTATTATTATTATCATAATTATTAATTTAATTTTAATGTGCACAAAATTATTGTTAATAAAATGAAATAAAATAAATATATTGTATGTAATGAAATAATTTAGAGAAATACATGTAAGTTAAAAATAAAATAGAATTAAGTTAGGAATAGAATGACACTGAGGATATAAGGGAGCACCGTTAGTATTGTTATTATTATTTTTATTTATTATTAACATTATTGTTGTTTATATTATTATTATTGTTATTATTATTGTTTATTGTTATTATTATTATTAGAGCCGTTAAGTAAATCAGCTGCTAAGAATAAGAAGAAACGAGAGGCTCAGAAACACAAAAAGGACGACAAGACGACTGAGCAGCTTGAAGCCATAGCAACAGCTTCTTACATAACAGGACGAAGTCAAGAGAGTAGCTCAACACTGAACGACAATGAGAAAAGAATCAAAGCTTTAAGAAAAGTAAAGTACATGTACATGTACCATACAAAATGATTCATTTTTGATTCATTTGATTCATTTTGATTCATTTGATTCATTTTGATTCATGAATCATTACAAAATGATTCATTTCATACCATACAAATGATTCATGATTCATACCATACAAATGATTCATGATTCATAATGACAAATTGTCTTTTAAAAGTGAGTGTGGAATTTTTTTGTGGATTAAAATTGAAATAAAAATACTGGCTTAGTTTTATTATTATTATTAGCAATGATTGCTTGTATCTAATTTTGAAACAATTATTTTTACTGTAAAATTTGTTTTATGGCTGCTAACAATTAAGTTAATGTTATATGTTTCATGCTTTTATTTGACACAGAAATTACGTCAAATTGATTTATTAAAAGAACAAGTAAAAGAAGGGAAGACACTTGAAGCTAATCAGGTAAGAGCAACAATAGAATTTGTACTTACGTAAACTAACATGCAATAAGTGTAACATTATTATTACAATAACAATGAAACTAGTCTCACCACGCCCCTTTGCTACCTGCTTGTCCTACACGTGGTTCGAGCAATCTGATTGGGATGCCAGATTCTCTGGCATGAAGCACACATTTTAGATAGCAGTGTCCCCAGACCCTTCCTCCGCAGGTAGCGAAGGGGCGTGGCGAGACTACAATGAAACTAATATTTATATATTTACATGTACAAAGCAGCTTTATGTAACATGTAAATTGTATTTTTGGGAAGTGATTGTAATAATTATATTTACTCTAATTATTATAGTAATTTAATAGTGTAAAAGTATCTATACTTTTACTGCTAAAATTTCTCAATGATAACAATTTGTCATACATTATACAGCAACTATTAGCAATAATAGTCTTTGTAGTTGGTATTGCTTTGTAGTGGATATTGCAATCACTTTCATCTACTAGTGATGTCAATAATTATTATAATAGTTTCATGCTTACTGATTCACATTGTGGTTGAAATCATTTGCTTTATGTAAAATGTTATCTCATTCTACGTGAAATGCTATCATAATTATTCTCTATCCCTCATTAGTTGGAGAAGCTAAAGACCGAGTCATCAATTATAGAGGAAATCAAAGAATTGGAACTAAAATGAAGGACCACTCAAAAAATAATTTGCATCAAATTCCTGAGCCTCAAGTTACGTTACTACGTGGGCATTCCAATAAAAATTAATAATTTATTTTTCATAATTTAAAAATCAATTAATTTACATAAGCTACGCCTACTAAAACATGGCGTCCGATAAGGAGAAAAGATATGACCGCCAGCTTCGCTTGTGGGGCGATGATGGACAAGCGGCTCTGGAATCAGCTCACGTGTGTCTCATAAATGCTTCACCAGTCGGAACAGAAATTCTTAAAAACCTTGTTCTACCAGGAATAGGAAAAATTACAATAGTGGACGATTCTCTCGTGGCATCACGTGACCTGGGTGAGAGTTTCTTTTTGTCAGCTGACTCCATTGGTACCAATAGGGGCGTGGCTACTGCTACTAATATATCAGAGTTAAACGATAGCGTTAGCATCAATACGTGTTCAGAATCACTAACAGTGATTTTACAGTCGTCGTCCGATTATTTTAATCAATTTAGTATCATCATAGCAACCGAGGTCCAGTCCGACACCTTGCTAGAACTTGCCGAGTTGCTATGGCGACAGCACATCCCATTGTTGATAGCACGATCGTATGGACTGATTGGCGTCCTTAGGCTAGTCACAGAAACGCACGAGATTGTTCAATCTCATCCTGACAACTATCACGAGGATTTGAGACTTGACGCACCTTTCACTGATCTGATCAATATCACTGATTCCGTTGATCTTGAATCACTTGATAACGCGGAACATGCCAACGTACCTTATCTATTAATAATATACAAATACTTGGAATCATGGAAGAGGAATCATGATAATAGGATTCCTGCTAATTATAGAGAAAAGAAAGAATTTAAAGAATTAGTTCGTTCTGGTATAAGAACAAATGACGATGGAGTTCCACTAGACGAAGAAAATTTTCAAGAAGCTATTGATAATGTGAACAGTGTCCTAGTACCAACTACTGTACCAGGAGCAGTTCAGGATATTATTAGTCATTCGTATTGTTTAAACGTCTCACATCTTTCATCTAATTATTGGCTCCTGTGTTCAGCTTTGAAAGAGTTTATAGCTAACGAAGGTTCTCTCCCTGTACGTGGTTCTATACCCGACATGATTGCTTCTTCTCAGCGCTATATCGATCTACAACGCGTCTATCAAAAGAAATCTCAATCAGATATCAATACCTTTACTTCGTATCTGAACCAAGTCTTGGTATCAGTTGGGAAAGCCCCAGGGTCAATCCCGAATAAAGATATCAAGTTATTCTGTCGCAATTCGTCTTTTCTTAGACTAGTCCAGACCCGATCCCTCTCTCAGGAATACAACGAACCAAACGTTGACGAATTATCAAATGCCCTCTCTGACTCAGACAGTCTATTATCCTACTACATTCTGCTACGAGCAGTCGACTTGTTTTATAACAAATACAAATATTACCCTGGTACCACTGGGGATTCTTTCGACTCCGATTGCGCCCAATTAAAGTCCTTTTTATCCTCCTTATTAGACGAATGGGGCCTAAACACGTCTTCTGCGGAGAGTATTGACGACAAGTTGACTGAGATTTGTCGCTATGGAGGAGGGAGTGTACATTCTATTGCGGCTTATATGGGAGGCGTGGCCTCGCAGGAAGTGATTAAAGTTATTACGCGTCAATACGTGCCTATTAATAATACTTATATTTATAGTGGAGTTAATTCAACATCGGTGACAGTGGCTTTATAATTAATTGAAGCATGGTTTAATTTGTTTCTCTGAATTATTAATTTGTTGTGTTTTTGATATTAATAATAATTATTATTGATTGTGTTTGTGTAGGTTTTTTAGTAATTTAAAAGTGATTTTTTTTCAAGCTCAGATCAAGTAGAATCACTCAACACTGATTCTGTTCAGTATTTTCATAATTTTCTTCATTGCTTGAATCACTTCTCAAGATCACGTGACTAGCTCAACGCCCACTCGGGGTTAAAAATTTGGTTGCCAAGGAAACCGCTAATAAAAGTACAGAAAAAGATGTCTTCCTTTACTTCTCCTCGTAGAGACGTACTGACGCCTGTAGAAAGGTAAGAAGGCGATTTTATGGTTTCTTTTGTATTTTATGACATACTAGGGAGCTGCTGATTGCTGTACTGGAGGATACTTCAGATCAGCTCTCAATATTGAATGCAATTCTACCATCAGGAGCTAAACCATCAACTACCAATGATGTAATTAAATAGACTAATAGTGAAGTAGCAGGGGTAGGGCTTTTAGTAATGTATTAAGAAGAGAAAGAGTGTGTGTTCTGTTTTTGTATGCATTTAAGTAACTTTTTAGATTTTATAAAATTTTGAGTGCATGTATGTCCATTAGCAAAATCAATGAGCATAATGTGATATTAAATCCTTTATTTATTCTGATTCTCTCTCTGTCTCTCTCTTCCTATAGGCATTGACTGAAGCATTAGCAGAGATATTGGAGAACCAAAGACAATTAGAAGAAGAATTCTGTCAATTGAAATCAGGAGGAGGAGGAGGAGGAGAGAAGACTGACTCAAGTAAACAGAATATGAAAGGAGAAATACACGGACTAACAGCAGCAGCACAAGGTAAGAGAAGAGACCATTATTATTAGTACTACACTGTACTCATTCATACCCTTCAATAGGGCTTCAATTATACATGCATTGATTTTATAGTCAATCAATATTACTATTACATGTATTGGTAATTTTGGCCTACTATACACATTTATGTACATGTATTATTGTAGTGTTTGAAATGCATAATTATTATCATCATCATACAATGTACATGTAGGGGCTATACCCTTTAATAGTGATTCAATTGCACATTGATTCTGTGATTATGAATTATAGTAATATTTTTTACAAAGCATACAATAATTGATACATAAATGAATTAATAGTAATAATAAGATACATAAATGATTGAACATGACATTATTTAACAGTAATAATAAGAGTTGTATTTACTGCTTTTTTGATTAAATAAATAAGAAAATAATAATTATTAAATTGTATATGTTCATATGTTCATAGCTACTCGTAACATGAGATCAATGTCTGATAATCTTGAGAAGCTAAGGAGAGACCAGTCCTACTTACAGTCAATAATAGTGAACTCACTGGAGGAGGTGACCAGTAAAGGGACCATAGCATCACTAGTGTCCAGTGTCAATGAATATATTAATAATAAATCCAACATGGAGGACACTGTCAAAAGGTAATCAGTATTATTAGCACATACATGTACATGTATATTGTACATGTACATGTATTATTATTGTATGTACATATACCGTGTTTTACCGATTAAAGGCCTGGGCGTTTATTTCTTAGCAGCCAAAAAAATTTATTGAAAAAATAAAATAAAAAAAGATACTTTGAGCAGGATTGAACACCAACTTTTAAGCACTTTGGAGCTATCTAAACAGTGGACCATTATTTTCGGGTACAAATATGCATATATATAGCTAGAATATATTAATGACAGGTGTTTATTTGGACCGGGCGTTTATACAGTAAAATACGGCACATGTATAACTAGACATCTTGGGACCCAATAACAATTGAAGTGTCCTTACTTTAGAGGATCCTTAATTTAGTGATAGTGATTCTATGCTCAAGTTGCCAATAATTACAATATTCTACATTATGAGTAGACCCAATGACACTTGGTGAAATATTAAAATTATGTACATGTACATGTACCAAGTGCTGTTGATTTATTTTTATTAATTTCTTCATGTAGTGAGCATGATTGCAGGCAACTGGTGAAGGACTTAAGGAAACAATTGGTTGAAGTGAAAAGAGAAAAAGAAGAACAAATCACAGTATGAATACTACCCTTTATTATCATAATGACATGCACCTAATTACAATGTACTGTATGTACAATGTATGTAAAATACCCAAGGCTATAGCCCATGGTTTTTTTTTCAAAAAATGGCTCCAAAATCACCCTGAATTTTTATTACATTTTCTGATGCATATTGATGTCCTTATGCTGTGTAGAAAGTTTGAGCTGATTCCGACTTCAATTTTTCAAGTTATGGCCAATTTAATAAAATCCCAAAGTTTTGAAAAATACCCAAGGCTATAGCCGATGGTTTTCCAAAAAATGGCTCCGAAATCACCCTGAATTTTTATTACATTTTCTGATACATATTGATGTCCTTATGCTGTGTAGCAAGTTTGAGCTGATTCCGACTTTAATTTTTCAAGTTATGGCCATTTTAAGAAAATGTCAAAAATCTGAAAAATACCCAAGGCTATAGCCCAGTTGAAAAGGGAACAGAGCCCTCAAAAAATTTATTATGAGAAAGGGTAGAAATAAACATGTAGGTTAAGGAAAGGAATATACAAAACAAAGAACAGGTTAAAGATTGGTTAAGGTAAAGAAAGATACACAAAGTGATATAGCCCATGGTTTTTTCAAAAAAATGGCTCCAAAATCACCCTAAATTTTTATTGCATTTTCTGATACATATTGATGTCCTTATGCTGTGTAGAAAGTTTGAACTGATTCCGACTTCAATTTTTCAAGTTATGGCCATTTAAAAAAATGTCAAAATTCTGAAAAATACCCAAGGCTATAAGTTTTTTCCAAAAATGGCTTCGAAATTACCTCATATTTTTATTACATTTTCTGATACTACATACATGTACATGTATGTTTTGAACCTCTATAACTACATTCCTCTAATAAGTTACATTGTCATCTTATTTTTGGTAGAAATTAGATGAAGATGTTGCTCACTGCAAGGATCAGTTACAAGAACTTAAAGCTCGCACCGGACTACTTAATAAATACATTAAAAAACAATCAGACGTAAGTAATAATTATACCTGTACATAATACATACAATAATTTATTTGTCCAAGCAAAATTTTCATCTAAAATTTCAGAAAGAATCATTACATATATTTTGCTTTCTTATCAATCCAGTTGCATGCATGCACCCACACATGCACGCATATTAATGAGTTGATTATTATTGTTTTTCAAAAGGTCAAAGTTCAGTGCAGTCAGAGACAGCAGCAGAATAAAGAGTCTGACCTTTATAACGAGAGGGAGAGACTGAAACAAGAACTAGCAGAAGAAAAGAGAGCACATGCTGAGATTGAAAACTACCTCAAGAAACACA